CTCTTCACCAGTGTGACGGTGCTGGGGCCAGTGGAGAGTGGACCCTTCAGTGGTAGGCAGAAGCCCCATCCCAGTGAAGGCAAACAGGTCATGCACCAATTTCCCTTCTGTTCTTGATGACAGCTGGGCATGCAACGAATTCAATTCGATTCATGATATCAAGTGTGTCCAGACCACGCTAGGGCATCCTGCAGGAGGATTATGAGGAAAGACAGCTCAAAAGAGCAGTGGGATAGGATATAGAAAATAATGACTCACTCTGCAGTATGTATCTTAAATTTCATGGAGTTTAACACCTAGTAGGTAGATAAGTATAAATAATCACTAAGCAATTATTATATGAAATAAGACATTGTTCCTCTCGCCAAACAAAAATAACTTTATTTTTCCCAGTTGTATGAATAACATGGTTACTGTAAAAATTCAAATGTAAAAAACTTACAAAGAATGAAGTAAAAACCATTTGAAACTCTTATTATCTAAAATTAAGTGTTACATTTTGGTGAATATCTTCCCAGAAATCTCTTTCCACAAATAAATGTGCAAATGTGCGTAATTTTACTTACATGTGGCCTCAATATGCATGATGTTTGTTTCTCTTTTGTTCACTCAACAATATCCTTGACATCTTCTGTGTCAATAAAAATAAAACTGCATCATCATTTTTAATGGCTGCACAGTATTCCACTGGATGGATGTGCTATTATTTATGTAATCCTTAAGTATTCATTAAGTGGATGGACACTATTGTTTCTACTCTTCATTCAACAAATATTTACTGAGTACTTATAATGTGCCAGGTACTGTTCTAAGTACTAGGGACACAGTGATGAACAAGATAGGCAATGTCCCTGACCAAATGAAGCCTACATTCTAGTGAGGGAGACCAAAAGTATGTGAGTAAATAAGCAGATAATTTGAAGGAAAGATGACTGCTAAGAAGGAATAAAGACCTACCTTCTTAGAGAAGGACTGGGTGCCACGAGAATCGAGAATCGATGACTTTAAAGTGGTCTGGGGAGATCTTCCTGCAGAGGTGTCATTTCAACAGAGACCTGAGACAGTCATGCAAAGCAGGAGGTAGGAGCGTTCTAGGTAGAGGAAATGGTGAGTACAAAGGCCAGGAAGCAGGAAGGGACCTGGCATATAGTGGCTTGAGGTCAGTGAGGGGTAAATGGACTAAAGTGAAAGTATGAGATAAACAGAGAGAAACTGAAGTAGCAGCCAGCAAGTAGGGCCCTATAGGTCACAGAGTTTGAATTTTACTTTAAGTGCACCATGAAGTCAATGGAGAGATTTCAGGGGGAATAAGGTATTACCTGATTTACATTTTTGAAAGATCACTCTGGCAACAATGTGGAAAATGGATTGCTGGGAGGCAACAAATGAGCACAGAGAGACCAGTTAGGGGATGTTCACTTGTCTAGGGAAGAGAAAATGGTACCTTGGACAGTGGTGCTAGAAAGAAATGACTGGACAAGGAAACAATGTGAAGATAGAAAAAGTGGGAAAAGGTGAGGAAGAGGAAGAATCAAGGAAATTCCTAGGTTGTGGCTTGAACAGTTGAATAAATGGGAAAGGAAAAATGGGAGAGGAACAAGGTGCAACATACAGATCCTACACGTCTCGTCAGATTTATACATAAGTAGTTTGGTTTGGGGTGAGATACTGTAAATGTTTTTTTCTTTTAATTTTAGATTTTCAATTGTTCATTGTTAGTACATAGAATACAATTTTTTTGTGTGTGTTTTGATCTCATATCCTGTCAGTTTGCTAAATTCAGTTACTAGTTTTTGTAGATTCCTTGAGATTTTCTATGTAGGCAATCGTGCTATGTAATGAGGAGGGTTAGTTTTATTTCTTCCTTTCCAATCTGTATTCTTTGTATTCCTTTTTCTTACCTTGCTGCACTGGCTAGGACTTTCAAAAGTGGTTTCTGATCTTAGGGGGAGAGCAGTCTCTTACCATTAAGTGTGATGTTTGCTCCAGGTTTTCTGTAGATGCCCTATACCAGGTTGAAGAAGTTCCCTTCTAAGTTTGCTGAGAGATTTTATTATGAGTAGATGTTAAATTTTGTCAGATGTTTTTTCTTCATCAATTAACATGACCATTAGTTTTTCTTCTGTTGACAGTTAATATGGTAGATTATACTGAGTAATTTTTTAATGTTGACCTTTTCATTCCAACGATAAATGCCACTAAGGCACCAAATCTGGGTGGGTTAGCTATTATTTCATCAAATATTTCTTCTGTACTGCACTCTTTCTCTTCTTCTGGGAGTCCAATGACACAGATAGTAAACCTTCTGGTATTATCCCATAAGTCACTGAGGTTCCATTCAACTTTTCAAATCTTTTCTCTTCTGTTGTTCAGATTGGATCATTTCCATTGTAATTAAAAAAACATTTTTTAATTAAAAAACACCTACAGCACCTCATTTTCCTAGGTGGTCTCCCATCCAAGTACCAACCAGGCTCGACCCTGCTTAGCTTCTGAGATCAGACAGGATTGGGCTTGTTCAGGGTAGCATGGCCCTAGACTCCATTGTTTTATTTTCAAGTTCACTGATTCTTTCCTCTGTTATCTCCATTTTGTTATTGAGCCCATTCAGCTGAGTTTTTAAAACTTCAGTTATTGTATTTTTTCTTAAATCTTAATTTAGTTCTTTTTTTTTTTTTGGCTAACATATTCTATCTTTCCAATCATTTCAACAGTGTTTGCCCTTACCTTTGAGAGCATTTTCATAATGGCTACTTTAAAGCCTTTGTTAGATTATTCTAACATCTGTGTCATCTCGGCACTGGGATCTATTCATCATCTGTCCCATGCAAATTGAAATTTTCCTGGTTCTTAATATGATGACTAATTTTAGATTGTACACTGGATATTTTGAATACTATGTTATGAAACATTAGGTCTTATTTAAATCCAGTGGAGAATGCTGATATTTTTGTTTTATCAGACAATCAACCAGGGAGAATTTAGGTGGCCAGTTCTGACCAGCATTATGTAGGCTGTGGTTTCAATGCCAGCTCCATTTTCAAAAGATATTCAGGTGTGTCCTCTCATGTATCACTCACTCAGTGTTCAGTCTGGGACTTGAGCCATGGTCTATTCCTTAGTTCAGTTCTCAAAGTCTTTGGTATATTGGTTGGAATCAGATGCATGCGTACACAGCTCAGGGGTTAGGCTGGAAGTTCATAAACAAATTCATGGCATCACTTTCCTGAGTTTCTCTTTCTCTGTTGTTCCTGTACTTTCCAATTCATCGAGCCTCCCCTTCTTGATTCTCTGGCCAGAAAGCTGGGATTTTAGTTACCACATACAACTTGTTTCCTGCACTGTACCTAAACCTGGGGCCAAGCAGCGCGAAGGCAGAGAGAGAAAAAGGCAACCGAATTTTGTCACTCTCTTGGGATTACAGCTCCTCTGCTCAGAGAGGAAGGTTTCCCTTCCTCAGTTTTAGGTGCTTGAGGGCTCCACTGTGGCTACCACCACTGTGGGACAGCCCAGGAACTAGGGCACGAGAGAACAGAGGAAAGACTAACCCTTGGGTTTCCCCCTCTGTCTGAGCCTTAGAGCCCCATTCCCACTCCAGAGCCATAACTAAAGGTCTTCTGGAATTCCCTCTGTGCCCTGGTGTCCACTGCTGGGTTTTGGGCTGCCTCGAGTCTAGGACATGAAATATCAAAAGAAAAATGAGAAATTCACTGCCAGTGTAGTAGTGCTTTTAATTCTAGTCTTTTCCTCTAATCTATCTGCTACTATTTATATTTCGGAGTTCTCAAATAGCTGCTAAATGCATTATGTCCAAGCCTTTAGCTGCATCCGGTGACAGAAATAGATTCTTATACATGCATCTTGTCCACATATCCTGGTATGCATATAAGCCCCCATTTATGCAAAGAAAACACCAGGGAGAGGAAATGCCAGGTCATGAGGTATGTATATATTCAAATTTAGCTAACACATAGTCTTTTCCGAAGTGGTGATAACCAATTTATCCTCTGACCAGTAGAAACCTCTGTACCACAGCCTCACCAAAACTGGAACATCAAGCTTTTCAAGTTTTGCTATTTTGATAGATATATAGTGGTATCTCACTGTAATTCTAATTTGCATTCCCTTAGGCACTAATGTAATCACATATCTTTTCATAGGTTTATCAGCCATTTGGATTTCCTCTTTTGTGAAGTATTTGTGAAGATGTGTATAAAGCATTTAGCACAGTGCTGGCACACAGAAGGTCCTCAGTAAACAGTGGTGGCTGTGATCATATTCTGTGAACATCATTTCCCTGTCCACGCTGAAATGACTACTTTCTGCTGCCAACAGCACAGTTTTATGAAGCAAGGAGACTGTCTCAGACATGAGAGCCAAGCCCCACTGAGCCCGAATGATTTTGTGTAAAAAGGGCAAATGTGCCAATCTATGTGTCTTGCGCTATAGATACAGGGAAGAGAGGAAGTGTGTCAGCATGTAGGAGTTTTAGCCTAAGTGCACAGTAAAGAAAAGTGCAAAATAAAGTGCACCTCCTGGAGGCGGTATGTATTTGAGTGTACGGGGTGCGCATGTACATGGGCAATAGGGTGCATGTCCTCGGGAAGCTGCGATGGTATCACCAGCCTGGTGTTCTGCTAGGCAGCCTGATGGTCACTACCCCAGCATTCCCAGATTTGGGGTCTCTGAATGCCCTCTGCCCCACTCTTTCTGACAAAAGACATATCTTTTTATATAAACCTGAACCATTCTGATGGGGAAGGAGCATCTACAGCAAACTTCTCAGTGCACACTTTTAAAGCAATTGACAAAATCTTCTAGGTGTTGCATCCCACCACTGCTTCCTAGACCATGAGGCCCTAGAAAGGCTTCTTAAGACTTTCCTTCAATTCTGAGGTATTCCATTGCCCATCCCACCCCCCAGGTGCCCCCCACCCCATTAGGCTCCACTTCAAATGTGGCCAGTGCTGAAAGGATGATAGATGGGGAGGGACTGGTACCTGAGCCTAGTGTTTGTCCAGCGGAGTCAAAGGATAGAACCACTGAATCTGCAACACAAGAGGACATGTTCATTTCTTTCTCTTTCTTACAGTAAAAAGACAAGCTCCCACTGGCTCTGCCCAAACCCTCCCCAGGAGAAAGTCAACTGCACAGAGGAATGGAACTCAGCTGCACAGAGCCTCCACAAGTCCATGCCCACCCATCCACTGGGCCAGGAGGCCCTGCTGAGCCCAGCCCCAAGCCTCCTGCCACCGGGATGAACGGCTCAAGGCAGAGACAGGCCCCAAGTTCTTCAGAGGCATTTCTTGCCAAATTAGGGGATAAACTTACTTATTTTTCCTTCTCATAGTGAACAAAAAAAATTAAAACAAAGCATAAGAAAAGTTCTCTCTTGCATCTAAAGGCACTAACATTCCCCTGTGACTTTTCCCTTTCTTTACCTACTCATATACCCAAATGCTTATTATTTTCCCCCCAACAAAAGGCTTATTAAAGTGGCCTATAGGAACTTACAGTAAACATTGGAATAAAATAATGACGTCAAAGAAAAAAAATATTATGTAGTCGGGGGAATGTTAGTGTACAAAATGCATGCCATGAGGACATATACAAATGCTACAGCTAGAATCAAGGAGGCCGGATCGCTTAAATGGCCAAAGAAAAGGTGAAAATGAACAGCTTCAAAATTCAGTGCCTACAATGCATTCATTCATTCATCTATTCAACTGTTCAGTAAATATTTACTGGGCACCTACTAGGTACAAGATACTATACTTTGAGATACAGCAGCAGACAAAAAAAAAAAAAAAAAGCATGGTCTCTGCCTTCATGGATCTACCTGCCATTAATCTAAGAGAAAAAAATATTACCAAACAACAAACTATTCAACTAAAAACTGATTAAATGAAAAAGAAAAGAATGCTGTGAAAGTTTCTATTAGGAAGCAGACATAGTTTGGAAGGGGAGTGGGTGCTGGTTACGGGAGGCTTTCACAAAGAGGTGACACTTGAACTAAAAGCTGAAGGAGAAGTAAAGGTTAACCTAACAAGAACAGAATGGAGCATTCCGGGCTGAGAAAATGTCTACTGTGGAGAACCGAAGCAAGATGGAACAGGGTGCTTCAGAAAAACTAAAAGACCAAAATATAAGAGCAAATACTCTACAGTGATCAGAGAGAAAATTCTCTTGAGGGGTCTTAATAAAGGAGGATGCTACATGATGTTGAAGACAATCTTCTACAACATTTTTATAAGTAATTGTGAATCTTGGATGGCTGTTTCTTATAACATGAGCCAATACAAATGATGGCATAAAGCTAGGGTACAGTTCAATAAACACAATTATAAGGGACACCAAGATAATTTAAGGCCCAAGATAACCTCAGAGACCCCAGATTCAAAAGGGATCACATTCAAAGGGCTCACCTACTACAAAAGAATGTCAGCTGGATGGATATAGGACCAGTGTCTACAGCCACACCCCCACCCCCACCCCCACTTTATCCTTCAGATCTCAGTTTCTACGTTATTTTCTTATTGCGCAAGGAAATCTGACACAAGTTATCATAACTGTAAACAACATCTGTCCCCACTGCTTGACTACATGCTCCATAAAGGCGGACATTATATCTGCTTTCTTCACTGCTGCATTCCCAGCATAAGACCTGGCACTCAATAACTATTTGCTGAATAATAGTCTTAGAGAAATGAATGGACTACAAATTCTTCAGGCAATCTTTCACATATATTTTTTTTCTCATAACCAAATGTCTACAAAGAACTGGGTGGCAGAGAACTGGAAGGGTTCAGATAAGAATCCAGAGGCAGATATTCTGTATTGCTAGTTAAGCGCAGATCCATATGCTTTGAAACCTATCAAGTAAAAGGTGGAGCTGACATCGTTTAATAAAAATGTAGAAGCATGATTGGCTGACCACCGTGAGATACAATCAATGTCTAACTCTTACAAATTCTAATTATCAACATTTCTCACATCTGTCTCCTCTCAACGCTACTGACCTTTCAGAAAAGAACCTTGTTCTCCCCCCCTCACCTCACTCCCTCCCTCTCTCAGCTTACGATTTACATACTATAAAAGTCACTCATTTTAAGTATACAAGTCAATGAGTTTTAGAAAATTTAGAGCTGTGCAACCAGCACCAATGCAACTTTAGAGCATTTCCATCTCCCTAAAAAGATGCCTCGTGTCACACTCTGTTCCCATCTCCAGCTCCAGGCAACTACCAATTTACTTCTAATCTCTATAGATTTGCCTTTTCTGGACATCTGCCTTTTTTTTTTTTTTTGCTGGAGCTGTTCTAATAGACCTCTAACCATACTCCTACCTCCAACTTAGCCCACTTCCATCATCCTTTATACTGCTGCAAGATTTTTCTAAAAAGTTACCTGACTGTGTCTTTGCTCTTGATTAAAATGCTTCAGTGGTTTCCCATAGCCTGTGAGATGCAGTTCAAGCTCTGACATTCAAGGTCTTCACCCTTTTGCTTCATTTGCCACCACTAATATACCTCATGTCCCAGATATGCTAACCTACTTCTGCTTCCCCCAAAAGACATGTGCCTTCATGTCTTCAGACATCAGACATACTATTTTTTCTGCCTGTTTGCATGAAAAAAAAAAAACCTCCCACTTCTCCAGTAAGACTCAACTCAATCATCCCCTCTTCTTGAAGCTTTCTCGATCAATTCTGCCCATTCTCTTCTTTATGCCATTGCTGTACTGCTATTATGGAATTATTATACTGCATTATAATTCTTGTTTACTTCTCTTTTTTCTCTCATTAAACTGCAGGATCCCTGAGGACAACTGTCTATTCATTTTGAGGATCTGATGCCTAGCTCAGTGGCTAACCAACACACAGAAAGTGGTCAATATTTTTATTAAACAAATGAATAAGCTAGTAAGTGTCCCTGCTTTCTTTCAAAGGTGATATTACCTGAGTCATATTTTACACATTATGCATATAGATTCTCATTTAATTCAAGTCAATCTTGAACTGTCCCTGTACCAGGAAGCTTCAGAAGTTCAAGCCTGGCCTCATCCTAGGAAGATACAAGCGTTCTCACAAATCAGTGCAGGGGGAATAAGAAAAATGCCCAAGGAGCTTTCTAGGAGAGAGATCACATTCACCTGGAGAAGATTAGGAAAAGCTTTCGGAGGAGGTGACTGCCCAGATGAACAACAATAAAAACAGCATCTCAAATTTTTATTGCAGTTGACAAGTATTTTTCCAACTGCAATTTACCTCTTTGAACTCACAAGCAGTCCTGAAATAATGTCTTAAACTTTTCAATCTAAACATAAAGAAAACAGGGTAAAAGTTAACTAAATGACTAAAACTTAACTAAGACTAAAAGAAAAAGGACTAAATGTTAACAGTGGTTGTCTCTGAAAGAAAATGATAGGTGATGTTTATTCTCCATATTTTTGCAAAATTTCTACAATAAACATGTATTACTTATAGTACCAGGGAGGAAAAAGTTAAAAAAAAAAAAAAAGAACTCTTATATCCAGCTCTAGGATTTTAACATCTAACTCATTGGTATCGATGCAGAAGGTTTCTGACTGCCTTCATTACTCACTGTACATGATAAAAAACTGTTCAACTTTTCCCCCTAGTTACTGAGGTATCCTTACGTTTCATGCCACTGAAATACACCTCAGCTACACCAATGACTAAATAAATGAGCTTTTTAAAACTTCTTCCCTCCTTTCCACAAATATTAGCAAGTACCAGATACAAGCACACCTTGTCTTATTGCTCTTAGCTTTATTGTTCTTCACAAATGTTGCAGTTTTTACAAACTGAAGGCAAGACCCTCCACCAACAAAAAGATTACAACTCCTTTTATTGTGATACTTCCTTTATTGTGATGGTCTGGAACGAACCCACAAGATATACCTGTACTAGAGATATGGAACTGACTAAGAGAGTTTTTGCCTTCCAGCCAAGGAAGACAGACAAGTTAACAGCCACTTAAAATAAAAATAGTTTGATAAGGGTATGCAAAGGATAAGCAACAAACAGATGTCCGGCTTTACTGTAAAGTCAGTGTTTTCACAAATATTATTTCCAGTGATAGTGGGATGCTCCCAAGAGCATGCGTCTTTAATCTGTCCACGATGCAAATGAGAGGTAGAAATTTCAGGAAGAAATTTCTGATGCTGAGCCCTGGGGCACATGAAGTGACATCCATGTTTTGATGGATAATGCTTTGAGCATTAAAGGCACAGACTTGAGAATCAGTTTAACCAATCATTTATTTGTGTTTATTCAAAAGGATGTAAGATTACTTTAGTTATAAACCAGTTTGACAGCTAAAGGGAAAATTTAGTAATCAACAAGTTGAGAAGTTTGTTTTGCAAGAAAGAGCAAGACTCTCCAGACTTCTCCTTCTCAAGTTAACAAGTATGTCATTTTTATTTAAAGCAGCCCAGGCTCCAGCTGTTCCTGGCTCCCAGGCCAGAGGCGGCCATGTGGTGTGCTGTACAAGTGACCAAACAGAATTCCAGACCAAACTACAACAGAGCATCGCTGCACATGACTTCGTTCAATGAGAAAACCTAGAATTTACTGAAAATCTTTTATTATGGTCAGATGTTTCCTGTGTCTGGTTTCTGAAGCGAATAACAGGAATATAAAGGGAGTATGAAGAATGGGAGTCAGTCTTTCCAGTTGTTGGAGAGGATTCCAAAGCTTAATTATGCAGTGAACAAGCTACATTTTCAGGTACTACCTCTCATGGTATACATTTGACACAGATAGTTGGCTTGGGCCAAAAGATGTTGACTGCTGCTTGATTGGGAGGGACCTTCATTTAAACCACATGACACTGCCTCTCCTCTGGCCCCTGACAACTGAACCACAGGTGGGTACCTGACCCAAGGACATGCGGTTTATAGATTGATGACTCATTTATGGGGCAGATAGGTTCCACCTTGTAGAGGCTTGAATTGTGAAATACAGAGAGTTGGGGCCATTGATAGAAGACACAAGCAGACAAACAAAGAAGAGACCTGGAGGCTAT